AGGGTGAACCAACGGCAACAGCAAGACCTGTCTCTCTCTGTCTCTGTCTCTGTCTCTCTCTCTCTCTCTCTCACTGTCCACTCTGCCTGTAAAAAAAAAAAAAAAAGAAAAAAAAAGCCCTCTAAGTTCATCAGTGTTATTGCAGATAGCAGAATTTCCTTCATTTTAGGTCTAGATAATATTCCAGCACATGAATATACCACATTTTCTTTATTACCTGGCAATGAACACTTGGGTTGTTTCCTTCTTTGGTTATTGTGACTAGTGCAGTATAAACATTAGTGTACAAATATTTGTGTGTAGATACATTTTCACTTCTCTTGAGTATGTACCTAGCAATGAAGTTGCAGAGTCATGGTAACCCTGTTTAATCTTTGGAGGAACTTCCAGACTGTTTTCCATAGTGGCTCCATTTTACATTCTTGGCAGCAATGCATAGGGTTCCAGGTTCTCCTCTCTCACTGCGCTTGTGATTGCCTGATTTTTTTTTTAAAGATTAAATATACATGTGTATATATATGTATATGTAAAGGCAGAGTGGCACAAAGACAGAGATTGATCTTCCATCCACTGGTTCACTCCTCAAATACTTGCAACAGTCAGGGCTAGGTCAGGCTGAAGCCTGGAGCCAGGAGCTCCATCCCGGTCTCCCACGCGGATGGCAGGGGACCAAGAAGTACTTGGGCCATCTTCTGCTGCTTTCCCTGCTACATTAGCAGGAAGCCTGATCAGGAATGCAGTAGCCAGGACTCAAACTGGCATTCCCATATGGAATGCTGGCATCTCGAACAGCAGCCTAATCTGCTATTTCACATTTAGATTTTTGACTGATTTTGACCTAATTTTCGTATGTGGGGTTAGGTCAGAATCTAATTTTTTTTTTGTACTGAGAAACTTAAGATTGTAGTGTTGAGCAGGTCTACCTTTAAAGTCCAGGCGTAAGTGCTTTGGACTGTGGCTTAGTAAATGGATGATTGAAATGGAGGTGAAGACTGTGACCTCAGTACTGAAGTCTTCAGCTCAGCTGCAGGGTGGACACAGGCATTGGTGACTGACTCCTCAGAGGAGAAGGGGTTTAAAATGAGGCTGGAGGACTTAAATTGGAAGAGACATTGAGAATGGCAGACATAGACCCTGTCCCTTAATCTGAAATACATGGAGAATGGAAGAATCAGCTAAAACTTCAGCACAGTGGTTATTCAAAGGAAGTGGATTGCTATAGGGGAAACTTGAAAGAGTTGGAAAGAGAGTACTCTGGTGTGGTGGGTGGTGTAGGGGATTTTGACTCCTCTGGGAAGATGCTCTCCAGAGCATTGCAGCCCTGGGGTAGTGCCTTGGCTTCAATTAGACCAGGCTTTGACTCTGTGTCCTCAGCATTGTGTTACTAGTGTCTTCCTGTGCTGCCCTGGAAACAATTTCATTAAAAAGAAATATTCATTTGAAAGACAGAAATAGAAGGAGAGGGAGGGAGAAAGATCTTCCATCCACTGGTTCACTCTCCAAAAGCTGCAATGACTGAGGCTGTACCAGGCCAAAGCCAGGAGCTTCTTCCGGTTCTTCCATGTGGGTACAGGGGCCCAAGGATTTGAGCCAACTTCTGCTGCTTTCCCAGGCACATTAGCAGGGAAGAGTCAGAAGTGGAACAGCTGGGACTTGAACCAGTGCCCATATGGGATGTTGGTACTGCAGGCTTAACCTTCTGTGCCACAGCACCAGTCCCTAGAATGAGTTTCTTATTTGGAATAAAGAGTTGCCTTATTTGACACACTAGAAAGGGTGGAGCATAAAATAGAGTTACCTCATTACTCATGCTGACTCTATTTTAAGATACTGGTATTTGAATTTAAGCTGAGTATATGTTAGAGGTGTTTAATAGGTTAAAGTTACATACACAGATTAAACAAGTTCTTGAAATTTCTGGTTCAAAACCTGAGGAGAACATAAAACCAAGAAAAGAAGTGAATGATTACCACCCACCCTTCCTCATCTCAAGAGAAAACTTTGAGGGAACTGGGAAGAATCAAGGGTGCTTGATTACTTTAAAAAAATTTGTATGTGAAGACTTGATTCTCATACTTTGGGGTTGTCTAAACAGTCCTTTCCAATTCTCTGTCATCTTTCTAGGAATCTTTTTTTTTTTTTTTTTTTTTTTAGATTTATTTATTTATTTGAAAGTCAGAGTTACACAGAGAGAGACAGAGAGATCTTCCATCCGCTGGTTCACTCCCCAATTGGCCACAATGGCCGGAGCTGTGCTGATCAGTAGCCAGGAGCCTCTTCCGGGTCTTCCACGTAGTTACAGGGGCCCAAGGACTTGGGCCATCTTCTGCTTTCCAAAGTCATGGCAGAGAGCTGGATTGGAAATGGAGCAGTTGGGGCTCGAACTGGCACCCATATGGGATGCCAACACTGCAGGCAGCAGCTTTACCTGCTACACCACAGCGCCAGCCCCATGATATCTTTTTTTTTTTTTTTTTTTTAAGATTTATTTATTTGAGGAAGAGGCTCCTGGCTCCTGTTTTCTTTCAGGTTTCATATCAGCCCAGCTCCAGCAAATTGCAGCCATTTGGGCAGTAAACCAGTGGATGGAAGACCTCTCTTTCTCTCTGCCTCTGGGTCTACCTCTCAAATAATTTTTTTTTTATTTGACAGGTAGAATTATGGACAGTGAGAGAGAGAGACAGAGAGAAAGGTCTTCCTTCCGCTGGTTCACTCCCCAAATGGCTGCAACGGCCGGAGTTACGCCGATCCGAAGTCAGGAGCCAGGTACTTCCTCCTGGTCTCCCATGTGGGTGCAGGGACCAAGTACTTGGGGCATCTTCCACTGCCTTCCCGGGCCACAGCAGAGAGCTGGACTGGAAGAGGAGCAGCTGGGACTAGAACCCAGCACCCATATGACCAAGTGAGCCACAGCACCAGCCCCTCAAGTAAATTTTTAAAAAAAATTATGTATTTGGGGCAGGCTGGTGCTGTGGTGCAGTGGGTTAACACCCTGGCCTGAAGTGCCGGCATCCCATATGGGTTCCGGTTCGAGACCCATCTGCTCCTCTTCCAATCCAGCTCTCTGCTCTGGCCTGGGAAAGCAGTGGAGGATGGCCCAAGTCCTTGGGCCCCTGCACCCACGTGGGAGACCCAGAAGAAGCTCCTGGCTCCTGGCTTCGGATCGGCACAGCTCTGGCTGTTGCAGCCAATTGGGGAGTGAACCAGCGGTTGGAAGACCTCTCTCTCTCTTTCTCTCTCTCTCTCTGCCTCTCCTCTCTCTGTGTAACTCTTTCAAATAAATAAATAGTTTTTAAAAAATTTATGTATTCGAAAGGTTGAGTGACACACTGACATATAGGGAAAGAGAGAGAACTTCATGTGCTGATCAACTTCCTAAAAGCCTGTAATTGCTAATGCTGAGCCAGGCTGAAGACATGAGCACAGAACTCAGTCCAGGAGTCTCACATGAGTGGCAGAGGCCCAACTCAATCTGCCCGGTGTGTGCAATAGCAGAAAGCCAGAATCAGGAGTGGAACTAGGACTTGAAGCCATTCCCTCCAGTTTGGGATGTAGGTAGCTCAAGCAGTATCTTTTTTAAATTTTTTAAAATTATTTTTTTTTAGTATTTATTAATCTCTTTTTTTAGAGATTTATTTATTTATTTATTTGAACAACCGGGTTACAGAGAGAAGGGAGAGAGACAGAGACAAGGAGATCTTCCATGCGCTGGTTCATTTCCCAAATGGCTGCAATGGACAGAACTGGACCGGTCCAAAGCCAGGAGCCAGGAGCTTCTTCCAGGTCTCCATGTGGGTGCAGGGGCCCAAGCACTTGGGCCATTTTCCGCTGCTTTCCTAGGCATACCAGCAGGGAGCTGGATCGGAAGTGGAGCAGATGGGACTCGAACCTGTGCCCATATACGATGCCAGCGCCACAGACTGCAGCTTTTCCTGCTATACCATAGTGCTGGCCCCAATATTTATAATTTATTTGAAAGGCAGAGATAGAGAGAGAGAAGGAGAGACAGAAGTCTTCCAACCGCTGATTTACTCCCCAAATGGCTGCAGTGGCTGGAGCTGGGCCGATCTGAAGCCAGGAGTTTCCTCTAGGTCTCCCACATGGGTGCAGGGGTTCAAGCACTTGGGCCATCTTCCACTGCTTTCCCAGGCCATCAGCAGGGAGCTGGATCAGAAGTGGAGCAACTGGGACTCAAACCAGTGCCCATAAAGGACGCTGATACTGTAGATGGAGGTTTAACCTGCCACGCCACAGTGCCAGCCCCACCAAGTAGTGTCTTAACCACTCTGCCCACCCCTGAATGTGCTATTATTAATAGTGCACTTATTCTCTAGAAATTCAGGCAAGAATTATTAGTATATTTTCTTCTTCTTGAAAAGATTTTATTTGGCAGAGGGAAAGAGCTCTCAAATACCCGCAACAGCTGGGGCTGGATTGGGGATGAAGCTGGGAGCCAAAAACTCAGTCCAGGTCTCCCGTGTGGGTGGCAAGCACTCAGCACTCAACCATTTGTCAGTAGTGCTGCCTCCCAGGGTCTGCCTTGGTAGTAAGCTGGAGTCAAGAGTAGGAGGCAGGGATTGAACCAGGGATGTGGGCTTCCCAGTCAGCATCTTAACCTCTAGGCCAAGTGTCTGCCCTGGTATATTTGCTTTAATTTTTTTTAAGATTGATTTATTTATATGAAAGAGTGACAAATGGAGAAAGAAACTCTCCAAATGGCTGTAACTGTCAGAGCTGGTCCTGGCTGAAGCCAGGGGCCTGAGTACCTGGGCCACCTTCTGCTGCTTTCCCAGGCACATTAGCATAGAGCTGAATCAGAATGGAGCATCTGGGATTCGATGCCATTACGTGATGCTGGCGTCGCAGGTAGTAGCTTAACTCACTGTGCCAGCCTTGCTTTTAATTCTCGTAATAAAAATTTGTCAGCAAATGAAGAATGGAAAATAAAAATGCACCATTCAGATCTTATTTCCATAGCTGACAGGGAAACTTTTTTCCAGGGTGAAGAGGAATACAGTGAAGAGGAAAACTCCAAAGTGGAGCTGAAATCAGAAGCTAATGATGCTGCCAATTCTTCAGCAAAAGAAGAGAAGGGGGAAGATAAGCATGACCCCAAAGGCACTGTGACTGGAGAGAGGCAAAGTGGGGATGGACAGGTCAGTATGCAGCATGGTCCTTCATCTTGGGGCTGGAATAGGGGCTCTCTGCCTTGGAGGAGTAAGGATCCCTTTATCTGTCCTCCAGGAGAGCACAGAGCCTGTGGAGAATAAAATGGGTAAAAAGGGCCCTAAACATTTGGATGATGATGAAGATCGAAAGAATCCAGCGTACATACCCCGGAAAGGGCTCTTCTTTGAGCATGACCTTCGAGGCCAAACCCAGGAAGAAGAAGTCAGGTAACAGCCACCTGCTGCTGCTGCTATGTGGCCTGTGTTTTAATGCCTACTATATGCCATACACTTTGCTGAGTACTTTGCCTGTACTATCTCATTTACTCTTCACAAACACATTTTAAGCTAAGTATTATGCTTATCTTTATTGTACAAATGAGGAAAGTAAGGCTTAGAATATTCAATTTGGTAATTCTTGATAGAGGAGCTGAGATCCACAACAGAGCAATCTGTCTCCATAACCCAGATGGCAGCAATGGCTGGACTGCTTCGATCTGGAGCTAGGAGCCAGGAGCTTCCTCCGGGTCTCCCACGCAGTGCAGGGGCTCAAGGACTTGAGCTATCTCCTGTTTTTCCAGGTCGTAGCAGAGAGCTGGGTCGTGAGTGGAGCAGCCAGGACTCAAACCGGCACCCATATGGGATGCCAGCACTGCAGGTGGCAGCTTTACCCGCTGTGGCACAGCGCTGGCCCCTAGGTTTTTTTGATCACCACACTTCTGCCTGCCTTAATCTGAGGCCTAAGTCTTCTGAGTTAGGAAGTATTTGCCTAGTACTTGTCTGTCTTGGGAGAACAATGTCTCAAAGCTACTGTGAAGTGAAGTTGTCTTACTTCTATTCCTATTGTATTTGAGCCCAGCAGGCCCTGAGGTGTTGTGATTTACTCTTGTTTTGGGGAGGTTTGTTTTGTATAATCTCTCTGGAATGTGAACAGACTACATGAAGTTCCTACTGTCTTCCTGCCTAAACCCATTTGTTTTATGAACATCTCTACCTGACAGACACTGCAAACCTAAGTCAATTTTCCTTGGTTTTGTCCAGACCCAAGGGGCGTCAGCGAAAGCTATGGAAGGATGAGGGTCGTTGGGAGCATGACAAGTTTCGGGAGGATGAGCAGGCCCCGAAGTCCCGACAGGAGCTCATTGCTCTTTATGGCTATGATATCCGCTCAGCTCACAATCCTGATGACATTAAACCCCGAAGAATCCGGAAGCCCAGGTGGGGAGATTGTAAAGCCTAAATTGTATTTTTAGAAAGAATTTCCCTGCTTTTCTGAATGCCTTTCTAGCCAGTAAATGAGTGGGTGAGGACTATGGGAAGGCTTCCTGATTGGCAGTTTCTCTCTCTAGTGGTCCCATTTGTTATTTTTTTGTAGCAGTTTCTCTATTCCATTTTTATTAGATTTGGAAGCCCTCCACAAAGAGATCCAAACTGGATTGGTGAGCGGCCAAACAAATCCCATCGCCACCAGGGACCTGGGGGCACCCTACCACCAAGGACATTTATTAACAGGAATGCTGCAGGTACTGGCCGCATGTCTGCACCCAGGAATTACTCTCGATCTGGGGGCTTCAAGGAAGGTCGTGCTGGTTTTAGGCCTATGGAGGCCGGCGGGCAGCATGGAGGCCGGGCTGGTGAGACTGCTACGCATGAGACTAATTACCGGTCACGGCGCCTGGAGCAGACTCCTGTGAGGGATCCATCTCCTGAAGCAGATTCTCCAGTGCTTGGTGGCCCTGAGAAGGAGGAGACAGCCTCAGAGACACCAGCTGCAGCTCCTGACACGACACCACCAGCCCCTGACAGACCCATCGAGAAGAAATCCTATTCCCGGGCAAGAAGAACCCGAACCAAAGTTGGAGATGCAGTCAAAGTTGCAGAGGAGGTGCCCCCTCCCCCTGAAGGGCTGACCCCAGCTCCTGCAGTTCCAGAAACTACCCCTCCTCCACCTGCTAAGACTGGGAACTGGGAGGCTCCTGTGGATTCTACCAGTGGACTTGAACAAGATGTAGCACAACTAAATATAGCAGAACAGAATTGGAATCCAGGGCAGCCTTCGTTCCTGCAACCACGGGAGCTTCGGGGTAGGTGTCTTAGGGTTGGTGGCCAGCTTTTTCCCTTTGCATCACTGGGTTGAGGAGCATGGGACTTCTATCTCTTGGGAAGCTAGTATCTGACAAATAACTACCTTTTCATTATCTGAGGGGGAAAAAAAGATGGATTTATAAGCACATTTACCCAGTCCCCACAGTAGTTTCTTTATTTTTTTTCTTTTTTCTTTTTTTTTTAATTTTTTTAGTAGTTTCTTTAGTTACCCATAGCTGTGCCACTGCTTTGCCTACAGTTAACTGATCACTTTTGAGCTCCAGCATGTAGAATCTTTTTCTACTCTAGAAAAAATGGAAGAAGACAGTGTTCTTACTTGAGCTAATAGTTAAACATTAGAAGGCAGAAATTTACTCATTGACTTTGAATCAGGATCTTCCCTAATCTCTTTGAAAGAAAAGCCTCTCCAGTTTTCATAATCTTCTAGAGACAAACTGCCCAATAGGACTTTCTGCAACAATGGTGCTTTTGAGTATAGTTATCCCTCAGTATCCTGGGGATTGGCTCCAAGACCTTGTGGATCCTAAAATCTACAGATACTCAAGTCCCTTATCTAAAATACTATAGTCTTTGCATATAAACTGCAAATTCTACCTTATACTTTAATCACTTCTAGATTACTTACAATATATAATAAAATATAAATAGAGAGAAGGGAGTGCTATAAGAATGTGGCCAAAGGAAGGAATTGAACTTTTGATTTTAACTAATAGAAACTTTGGTGCATGTGGTTAGTGAGTATCATATTGGACGGTGTAATTCTAGGAACTAGGGCCTACCTCTCACCTCTTTTGCCCATCTGGCCTTTTCTTCCCCTAACCAGATAGACTCAAGGATTTTGGTGGTGGTGGTAGTTTCTGAAATCTAGCTCAGAGGCTGGTACTGTAGCGTAGAGGGTGAAGCTGCCGCCTGCAGTGCCAGCATCCCATATGGCCACTGGTTCAAGTCCCAGCTGCTCCACTTCTGTTCCAGCTCTCTGCTATGGCCTGGGAGAGCAGTGGAAGATGGCCCAAGTCCTTGGGCCCCTGCACGAGTGTGGGAGACCCAGAAGAAACTCCTGGCTCCTGGCTTTGGATCAGTGTAGCTCTGGCTGTTGCAGCCGCCTGGGGAATGAACCAGTGGATGGAAGACCTCTCTCTTTCTGTGTAACTCTGACTTTCAAGTAAATAGATAAATCTTAAAAAAAAAAATCTAGCTCAAACTTATATTGGACATGTTCATTTTTTTAGATTTTATTTATTGATTGATTAAAGATTTATCCATTTATTTGAAAGGCAGAGCCACAGAGAGGCAGAGGCAGAGAGAAAGGTCTTCCATCTGCTGGTTCACTCCCCAGATGGCTGCAGTGGCCGGAGCTGGGCTGATCCAAAGCCAGCAGCTTTTTCCAGGTTTCCCACACAGATGCAGGGACCCAAGGAGTTGGGCCGCCATCTGCTGCTTTCCCAGGTCATATCAAAGAGCTGAATTGGAAGTGAAACAGCCGGGACTTGAACTGGCACCCATATGGAATGCTGGCACTGCAGGTGGTGGCTTTACCTGCTATACCACAGCTCTGGCCCCTTAAAGATTTATTTATTTGAAAGAGTTAACAGAGATAGAGACACAGAGAGAGAGGTCTTCCATCCTCTGGTTTACTTCCCAAATGGCTAGAGCTGAGCCAGTTCGAAGCCAGGAGCCAGGAATTTGTTCCCAGTCTCCCACACACGTGCAAGGGCCCAAGCACTTGGACCTTCCTCTGCTGCTTTCCCAATAGAGCAGCTGGGACTTGAACTATCACCCATATGGGATGCCAGAGCAATGCCAGCCCGGACATCCCTGATGTAGGATGAAATTTTTTTTTTTTTTTAAACTTATTTTAAAGGTAGAGTGAGCTGGCTTCTACTGATTCATTCCCCAAATGCCAACAATGGCTGGGACTGGGTCAGGACAAAACTGAGAGCCAGGGAATGCAGTCACTTAGTTAGGAGCTGGATCAGGTAGCAAACCTGGGTGCTCCAGTATGGGACATCAGCAGTTAACCAATATCTTAACTGCTATGATAAAAGATCCACCCCATAGGTGATTTTTGAACACCAAAAAGTAATGCAGCCTACACTGGACCTGGAAATGGATTCTGGATAAAGGAACTTACCTGCCTACTGATAACTTACTATCATTGCAAGACAGTCTCTGGAACATTCCTTATTTTTTATTGTTTTGTTTTTTCCTTTTCATTCAAAAAAGTTACAGAGAAAGAGAAATCTTCCATCTGCTGGTTCGCTCTCCAAATGGCCACAACAACCAGGGACTTGGGCTGTCTTCCACTACTTTCCCAGGTGCATTTAGCAGGGAGCTGGATTGGAAGTGAAGCAGCTGGGAATCACACTGGCGCCCATATGGGATGCCAGCACTGCAGACGGTGGCTTAACCTGCTGCGCCACAGTGCCAGCCTGCAGGCACATTCCTTTTTGTCCTGAGATTTCAGCCAGGAGGGCATCTCCTCCTGCACTTTCAGCCTAAACCTCTGTAACTGAGATTTAGATTCCTAGAAAATCCAAACTTTTGGGCCAGGATTGTTCAGTATGCTTAATAATGTAATGTGTTAATTGTAACCTCCTAAAGATTCTCTCCAAAGTATATTTGATAGGAAAAACTTGAACTGAAGTTCATTTCACTTAAGTAATTTTTCTTATGTTCAAGAACTTTACTGCTGTATTATGATGGTGAGAAATGGGGATCAAATTTTCAAAATGCTAACAGAATGTTACTTTGGGTTTTTTTTTTTTTTTTTAAGATTTATTTTAGCCGGCGCCGTGGCTCAATAGGCTAATCCTCCACCTTGCGGCGCCGGCACACCGGGTTCTAGTCCCGGTTGGGGCGCCGGATTCTGTCCCGGTTGCCCCTCTTCCAGGCCAGCTCTCTGCTATGGCCAGGGAGTGCAGTGGAGGATGGCCCAGGTGCTTGGGCCCTGCACCCCATGGGAGACCAGGAAAAAGCACCTGGCTCCTGGCTCCTGCCAAGATCAGCGCGGGGCGCCGGCTGCAGCGGCGGCCATTTGGAGGGGGCACCTGCGGCAAAGGGAGACCTTTCTCTCTGTCTCTCTCTCTCACTGTCCACTCTGCCTGTCAAAAAAAAAAAAAAAAAAAAAAAAAAAAAAAGATTTATTTTATTTGAAAGGCAAAGTTAGGGCTTCCATCCACTGGCTCACTCCCCAAATAGCCACAACAGTCAGGGTTGAGCCAGGCCGAAGCCAGGAGCCTGGAATTCTATCCTGGTCTTCCACATGGGTGGCAGGGGCCCAAGCACATGGGCCAACTTTGGCTGTTTTTCCAGGCATATTAGCAGGGAGTTGGATCATAAGTAGGAGCAGCCAGAACTCAAACTAGTGACCATATGGGAGCTGGCATTGCACGAAGCAGCTTAACCCACTACCCCACAACACCAATCTCAGAGAAAACACAATTTAAAGGAAAAGAAGAAAGCCGTTATACACGTTGACTGCCGCCCGTCATTTTCTTGATGACATCTTTGAGTCCTACTCGCGTACGTCTGTTCCTCACCAGTGACTTTTTATATTACAGGTATGCCCAACCACATACACATGGGAGCAGGACCTCCGCCTCAGTTTAACCGGATGGAAGAAATGGTACAAAATGGCAGAAGGGATAGATGGAGGGGCTGATGGTTACAGCATGTACTGTTTACAAAAAAGATGAGGTCTCAAAGTTAGTTTTCCCCTTAATCACCCTTGTTTCTTTTCATTTGTGTCTCAGAAATATAGGCTGTAGATTCAGAATTTGATGTTTTCTACTGATTTTGCATTTTGCAAGTACTTAATAAACATTTGCCGTGTACCAAGTGTTTGGCAGCACCTAACAGAGAGTAGGACTTGAGGAGAGTCGGCCCTCTGGAAGGTGTCTTGCTTAGGCCTCTCTCTCTGTCTCAGGGTGTTCAGGGTGGTCGAGCCAAACGGTATTCATCTCAGCGGCAAAGACCTGTTCCAGAGCCTCCCGCCCCTCCTGTGCATATCAGTATCATGGAGGGACATTACTATGATCCACGTGAGTTTTTCTTATTGTTCGGCTAACCTTTTAGGTAGGGTGAAATGAACTAACCTGCCTCCTGATTTTTCCTTTTGACCTTGACCTCTCAAAATTGTTATCAAAAATTGCCTATTTAAGGCCGGCGCCGCGGCTCACTAGGCTAATCCTCCGCCTAGCGGCGCCGGCACACCGGGTTCTAGTCCCGGTTGGGGCGCTGGATTCTGTCCCGGTTGCCCCTCTTCCAGGCCAGCTCTCTGCTGTGGCCAGGGAGTGCAGTGGAGGATGGCCCAGGTGCTTGGGCCCTGCACCCCATGGGAGACCAGGAAAAGCACCTGGCTCCTGGCTCCTGCCATCGGGTCAGCGCGGTGCGCCGGCCGCAACGCGCCCGCCGCGGCGGCCAATGGAGGGTGAACCAAAGGCAAAGGAAGACCTTTCTCTCTGTCTCTCTCTCTCACTGTCCACTCTGCCTGTCAAAAAAATAAATAAATAAATAAAGGACAACAAATGCTGGCAAGGATTTGTGGAAAAAAGAACCCTTGTACACTGTGTGGGGAATGTAAGTGGGTGCAGCCACAAAGAGAAAACGAAGAGGAAATTTCCTCAAAAAAAAAAATTGCCTATTTACTGTATTCTGTACAAAGAAATTCAGAACATCTTTTAAATGGTTTGGAGGACAAGAAGACCTTTCCATGTGTAGGTGAGGATTTATGAGACTGCCAATGTGGTATTTTACAGTGCAGTTCCAGGGACCAATCTATACCCACGGTGACAGCCCTGCCCCACTGCCTCCGCAGGGCATGATTGTGCAGCCAGAAATGCATCTCCCCCATCCAGGTAAGCCTTCCCTCTACCTGTATTCTTCCCTATGTGAGGATGTGTGTTGGGGCTCCATAGACCCCATCTCCCAGAGTTCTGTGCTGCTTGCCTTTGGGTCTTGCCACCCTGGCTGCTTGGGCAGCAAACTCCTCTTAGGTCCATCCTGAAGACTTTCATCTCTGAGCCTGTTTGTGCTGAAAGTCCAACCAGGCCATGCCATGAAAATAACAATATGTTTTTCAGTTTTTGTTTTCTGTCCCTTGTCCAGGTTTACATCCCCACCAGACGCCAGCGCCTCTGCCCAATCCGGGCCTCTATCCCCCACCAGTGTCTATGTCTCCCGGACAGCCACCACCTCAGCAGTTGCTTGCTCCCACTTACTTTTCTGCCCCAGGAGTCATGAACTTTGGTAATCCCAGTTACCCTTACGCTCCAGGGGCACTGCCCCCACCACCACCTCCTCATCTGTATTCTAACACACAGGTGAGATGACTAATTTCTAGGTACATGTCCTTAAAATCAGATACAAATGTGGAATGGGAGAATGCCAAAGGAATCTGAGAATATTTCAGGGCCACTGATTTGGGTGTGGAGCTGGGATGCCTCTTGGTGGTCAGGAGTTGGAAATGCAGTTCATGTTATGCCTATCATCTGTTAATTTTCTTTCTTTCTTTTTTTTTTTTTTAATAAAGATTTTACTTATCTATTTGAGACGTAGAGTTATAGACAGTGAGAGGGAGAGACAGACAGAAAGGTCTTCCATCCGTTGGTTCACTCCCCAGTGGCCACAATGGTTGGAGCTGCGCCAATCCGAAGCCAGGAGCCAGGTGCTTCTTCCCAGTCTCCTACGTGGGGTCAGGGGCTCAAGGACCCAGGCCATCTTCCACTGCTTTCCCAGGCCACAGCAGAGAGCTGGATTGGAAGAGGAGCAGCTGGGAATAGAACAGGTGCCCATATGGAATGCCGGTGCCACAGGCGGAGGATTAACCTACTGCACCACAGCACCAGCTCTTTTCTTTGGGTTTTTAATGGTGTTTCGGCAAATGTTTTTGGTGCATTATAGGCGCTCTGCTGTTCATTCAGCTGCAGACAGAAGCTGTTTCCTGCTCATTACCAGCCCCACCTTTTGTCCTGCTGAATTCCTGACATGTTGATACCATCTGATATCTGGAGTGTCACCATTGAGCTCAACCTTTTCCATTTGTCAACTGATGATAAGAGTTAGAGAAAGCTGGATGGTTCTTTGAACAAACAGAAACCAGAGCATAGTAATGATACTTTATTTTGCAGGACAGCGTAGAGATATAAAAAATTGTAAATACTCTTATTTTTGTAGCTGAATGTTTCCTGTTCCACATAGGTTGAATGAATTAATTCCTTTTTCTTTTGTGGGGTCCCAGGCCCCATCACAGGTATATGGGGGAGTGACCTACTATAACCCAGCCCAGCAACAGGTGCAGCCAAAGCCCTCCCCACCACGGAGGACTCCCCAGCCAGTCACCATCAAACCCCCTCCACCTGAGGTAGGAGAGCTCCTTCCTATACTTAAGGCACATGCAACATTGGCATGCTTTCCTTTTCCCTCTTTTTCTGGGTATGTTTCTACAAAATATGGTCTTTTTTTTATATGGCCTGATAATAAATTTCCACTTTATTATTTCAGGTTGTAAGCAGGGGCTCCAGTTAATATGAGTTTCTGAATATTTTTAAGCTAACATCATATAAAAGTAAGTATACAACTCTTAAAACCAGTGCTCATGCTTACGTGCTTAACCAAGAAATCAGCTCTTAATTCTTGAAGTTCTAACATTGGATCACAGAGGAGACCTAGAGCAGTCCTGAAATACACGTTTGTTTTATAAAAGCATTATGCTGAGCTGAAGTGGAAACCTTTGTTAACTTGACAGTTTCATTTGGGAAGCTGCAAGGAAGAAATGTGGATGTGCCATCTACACTTGATCAAGGAAAAAGGAAATCTAAATTTGACAGCAGAAAGAACCAGTTCTAAAGATCATAGAAGAGAAAGACACTGGGGTTTTTTGGTGGTGGTGGTGGTTTCTGTTTTGTTTAAGGGCATCACTTGAAAGCATTATTTAGAAATGTAGATTTTTGAAAATGGTTTATAAATGCCCAGAAGGTCCACTAACATTTTGGTGGGTCTTCCGTTTTCCCAATCCTTGTCAGAACAGCAGAGATGAGAACTCAGGAGAGAAGAGAAATACGACTGGCTGGCTACTCCAGGCGGGCTTCAAAGATACAGGGTGGCTCCTACCAGTGACAGCTGAAGGAGGAAGACCCCTGCCTTCCTCTGAGGACAGGCTCTGTTGGAGAGGGAGAGAAACGATGGACTTCCTCCCACCTACACTCTACTTGAGGTGGCTGTGCTCAGGGGAGCGGAGATCCAGGCAGCCCTGGCTTCTGATTCTAGATCCAGAAGCCCACAGCTTTGTTCTGCTTCACTTTCTCCTAGGAAATTCAAGTGTCTTCTGGTCCCAGGGAAGTTCCTTCCTGTTCGCTTTTGTTTTGTTTTGTTTTCTGAGATGCTCATTTTTAAAGCCTGGCTTGCTGTTCTTTAATTAATATTCTGTTAGTTTCTTCTCTCTGTTTCTTGCTCTCTTTCTCTCTCTCTCTACCTTTAAATGAAACAGGCTCATTCTTTTGGTTTACTGACCCATCCATGTTCCCTTTTGATTCTTTGCTGTATCCCAGATAATTGAGAATGTATCAGCCAGCCTTTCCCCAAGTCTGAGCTGGCGTTTGCTATTCGCTTGTATACTTGGATTCTCTTAACTCTTCTAACCCTATGGAAGCAAAGCTGTCTGTGTAGTTTCCCATTGAGAAGAAAAGCTCAGAGTGGGCGAGTAGGAGCCCTTTTTGGCTTCATTTTTTACAAGTCTGAGCCTCCATTAGTACCTGTAATCTGTGGGGTTCAGTCTTCCGTTGAGGAGAGATGGCAAGCCAGATGCATTTGTGAGCAAGAGCGGGTGGAGGATGGGCCTTTGCACCGTAGGGGTGTATATTCACACAGTGCTCAGGGCTCAGCCTTTGAGGTAAGTGGAATTAGAGGACCCTGCTTCTCTTTTTTTCCATCCCAACAACCGCATCCTCTTTCCAGTTGCTGTGGACCAATGCATCTCTCTAGAAGAAAATACTATCCAGCAAGCAACCTAGCCTGTCTTTTGCCATTGCTCTTCTCCATGTCTTTCCTTCTACAGATGTTTTGGATGTTGTTTGATTTTTCCCAAACTGTACTCCTGTTCTTGGAAACAGGAGATACCACACCTGGGCTTAAGGCCTAAGGAAGCCAGTCACCTTGTGGGTTAGGGCTCCGCCCTCCATTCCTCTCTGTCCATGGCACTGAACCACCCCCTGCTGCCTCTGCAGAAGAGAATCCTGTTACTGCTCCACCTGTGTCTGCCAGGGGTGACTTGGCCACTGTCGCTGTGCTCCTCCAGAACCCGATGGAGAAGGTGATGGCTGTGTCTCTTCCCTAGTAGTGTCACTAATTCCTTCCCTCCGGCAGTTGGCCTAACCACTCCTGAGTCACAGGTGTGGGGTGGGGGTGGGGGGGCACTCAAGCTGTAATCCCCCTGGGAGGAGATAATTAAGAGATTCTTCTAGGGGTAGCTGGTGATTGTGCCTTTTGTAGGCTTCCCTTTGCCTTAAACCTGAAGATGTCTCCTCAAGCTGTGGGCAGCATGCCCAGATTCCCAGACCTTACTACACTGTGACAGTTGTCTCCATTGGTCCACTGTGTTTAGTTGCAAGGAATTCTCCATGTGTGGTGTTGTTTTTTTGTTACTGTTTTAAAGGGTGCACATTTGTGATCTGCATTGTGACTTGGAGATAATAAAATTTAGACTATAAACTTGGCTTCTTGGCCAGTGTCTGACATGAGTCTTGATTTGGAAGAAAGGGAGGAGGACTCCCTGACTCCCTACGGAGTCACAGTCACAGCTCAGGCTGCCTCAGACTTGTCAAGTGGAAGCCCAGAGGTGAGGAAGCCAGCCTTAACCACACTGCCATGTGGACCCCAGGATATCACGTGCTGCTTTAGATTGGCAGTGCCAGGGACAGAAAAGCTAATGTGATGGCACATCTGGTATCCTCATTCCTTCTTTTGTGTTTGGCAAGTAAGTGTCCCAAGGTAATGTGCTACTAAATGACCATACAATTGTACCAGCTCCTAGATGAGAGGGAGGCACAAGTAGCTGTGTTTCTTCAAAAATAAAGATGCTGGGGCCAGCACTGGCAGAGCGGGTAAAGCTGCCACCTGTGACCCTGGCATCCCATACGGGCACTGGTTTGTGTCCTGGCTGTTCCATTTCTGATCCAGCTCCCTGCTAATGGCCTGAGAAAAGCAGCAGCAGATGGCCCAAGTGTTTTAAGCCCAGCTACCCATGTAGGAGACCCAGAGGAAGCTCCTGGCTTTGGCCTCACCCATCCTTGGCTATTGCAGCTGGGGAGTGAACCAGCAGATGGAAGATCTTTCTCTTCAACTTGACTTTCAAATAAACAAATATTTTAAAAATAATAATGCTAGGCCGGCGCCGCGGCTCACTAGGCTAATCCTCCGCCTAGCGGCGCCGGCACACCAGGTTCTAGTCCCAGTCGGGGCACCGGATTCTGTCCCGGTTGCCCCTCTTCCAGGCCAGCTCTCTGCTGTGGCCAGGGAGTGCAGTGGAGGATGGCCCAGGTGCTTGGGCCCTGCACCCCATGGGAGACCAGGAAAAGCACCTGGCTCCTGGCTCCTGCCGTTGGATCAGTGCGGTGCGCTGGCCGCAGCGCACCAGCCGCGGCGGCCATTGGAGGGTGAACCAACGGCAAAGGAAGACCTTTCTCTCTCTCTCTCTCTCTCACTCACTGTCCACTCTGCCTGTCAAAAAAAAAAAAAAAAAAAAAAAAAAAAGGCTAATTAAATGCTGTACTGAGTTGTTAAGGACCATAGTCAAAATGATAGGTAAAGCAAAGAATAAAAACCACCCACTCTAGCTGATAATGTGACTTGGGTCCCTCATGCATTCAGGGCAATTCTCAGCTTTGAGTATCTGGCTTTTTCTTTTTTTTTCTTTTTCTTTAATTTGAATGAGAGATCTTCCATCCACTGGATCACTCCTCAAATGCCCATAATAGCTGAGCTGAACCAGGCCAAAGCTGAGAACTGGGAACTCTTCCTGGGTCTCTGACATAGGTGACGGGGATCCAGGTCACCATCTACTGCTTCCCAAGCACATTAGCAGAAAGCTGAGTTGGAAGTGTGGACTCGGGACTCAAATCAGGCACTCAATCTGGAATGCTGGCATCCCAAGTATGGGCTTAACCCATCACACCAGAACATCCTCCCCTAAATTGCCCGTTTCTGTCCCATTATTTATTTGAAAGGCAGAGCTCTTCCATCTGCTGGTTCACTCCCCAAATAGCCACAACAGCTAAGGCTAGGCCTGGCCAAAACTAGGAGCCAGGAACTGCATCTGGGTCCCCCATGTGCGTGGAAGGGACTCAGGTCCTTGGACCATCGTGTGCTATTTCAGATGGCATAGCAGAAGCACAATAGCTGGGCCTTGAATGAGGCATTCCAGTATAGGATGAGAGCTTCCAAATCCACAGCTTACACCACTGTGCCAGAATACCTGGTCCCCTGCTGTTTCTAGAGTGGGATGGAAGTTTACCTTAGACACTGTCCTTGATATGGGTGAGCAGTTGAACTTATGGGGAGCTCGCTTTCATTTTGGGTATCACAAATCCTCACAGATCATGACACATCATAAAATGACAGATGGGGCTCCCACACCATTTGGTGGTTCTGCTACAGCCATAGCACCCTAACTTTCTTGACCCTCACCTTGTAAGTCTTGTCAGTTTGCTTCTCTTCTCCCCGCCAGGGTGATGGAGTTACAGACCCAGTCTCCTGGGGTCATGCAGAGAATGCCAACCAATGTTGAGGGTGGGTTACTGGCAGGAGGAATGAAAGTGTTAAGATGCTTCCCCCTCACCCTGCGCCTTGCTTCCCTAGGCCTGTGGTTAGTTCCCATTGCTGTTGCTGTTGCCCTGGTAACCAGCTCAGCAAGAAGGAACTCGAGCTCAGTAAAGCCCCCAGGTTCTCTGCCCCCCCCCCCCCGCCTCCCTGTAGGCCAAAAGGAGGATAGTGTGAGGGGCAGAGACAGATCAGCCTTAGGTGGCCCTGACAGTTGCCTCTGGAAGCCCATGGTGCTGGTCACTCAAGCGCTTCAGGCCTGCATCAGGATTATTCATACCACCCTGCCTTCCCCTTTATCCCTTCTATGATAGAATGCAGGTATCCTGCTGCCCTTCCTCCCCCTTGGGGGGGAGCACACGGGCCTACTACATTGTTAGTGATAGAACAGCCAAGACTTAGAATCCCAAAGTCATCTCCCAGCATCTAACCCACTTGAGTTGGGTTGTCTGGGCAGTGATTTTCAACCTTGGCTATTTGAATCAACTGGGGAGCCCTTGAGAAATGCCACAGGCCTTGGCCTTGCCTCAGAGGTCTGACTTAATTGACCTTGGGTGTGGCCTGGGCATCAGTATTTCTGCAGAGCTTTGTGTGACTCTAGTCTGAGGTGAAGGTGGAAACCACTGGCCTGGGAGGACCATAACCTGATGCTGGCTCTCCCTTGATTCAGGGTCTTGGACTTAAGCTCAGTCCCTGTCTGATATCCTCAACAAGTTGGAGGGGTGGGGTACTGGGGTTGTGTTCCCCAAATTCTAGTTTCCAAAAGCCTGTCAGCCCATTTTATTTCCAGCCCCCACATCCTCCACACTCCCCAATTCTTCGCCCTTCCTAACCGACGATCCCAAATCCTGCCCAGAGAGGAGGTTACCAAGGCAACCAGCTTAATCTGGTAACTGTGGCATGTGCTGGGAGAGAAACTCCCCTCTTCCCATTTGGTTCATAAAATGCTGCCTGGAGAGCTCCAAGCCACTCCAACCAGTGTCCCCTTTCCACCCTAGGGATAGTGTCCACTAAAGGGAGCCCAGGAAGACTTATGCTCAGGTCCCTAATCCTGCTTCTTAACCCAAATTGTGTTCTCTTTACTGTTCCCTTTCCAAATCCACAGACAGATGGGTGTGCAAAGCCTTCTTTCTGTGAACACATGCTCTAGCACACACGTGACCAGGCATGCACATTGACACGTGTACACACCCTGTTCAGTTCTACCACCACTCCCAGCCATTAGCATTCCTGTGCTTGCCTGGCTGGTTCACAGTAAACAGGGGTGGGGCATTGTCCAGGGAGCCACAACCCGGCCAGAACCAGGTGCCACTCCCTCACCTTGTAAGCCTCTCCGAGTGTATTCATGCTGAGTGAACATTTCCCCTCCTGAGGCAGTGTAGCAGTGTACCCTTAAGGGACAGATGGCCCTTGGCCTGAGAATTCTTCAGATTGCTAATTTGGCACCACTTCTCCAACTCCATGGCTACGTACACTCAGCTCTTTGATGTTGGCAGTTCTGGGACTTGTCACCCATCCCCGTGGCCCTGCTTGCTTTTGCTGTCAGCTGGGCTCCTCCCCCACTGCCTACCATCTTCTCACCCCAAGCAGACCTGCTGCAACCTGCTGTGCCCTACCTGGCTCCTACCTACCTGTCAGTACCTGCCTCACAGGCCAGGCCTGCACCACCCAGTGAGCCCTACCGGAGCGGGCAGATGGGCATCGCCCCCAGTGCTGATGTTAGTGCACTCAAGAGGCTCTCCCAGCCCCTCTCACAAAGGTGCTGTCTTCATAGGCCTCACCTGGTACAGACAGCCAAGTCAGAGTGTGCAGACCACAGACCTATCCTGGTTCTTTGAAATGATGCTAAGAGACCCAGAAATTCCCCGAGCCGACAATTCCTCTCCATCGGTAAATCACTCTCACTTAGACCCTTAATTTTTGCGACTGTCGGAACCCAAGCCCTTTAAGATTTCCCTCGCGATCAGCCGCGGCGCCCTAGTTCAAGCCTCGCGCGGCCCAGAGGGCGGGCCCAGGAAGAGCCTGGGCGGGGACTGGGCGGGGACTCGGGAGGGGGCGCGGTCTCAGTTCTGCCACCTTCCCCCCGGCCAGGAGCGCAGCCGCCGCCGCCGCGTCCTCTCAGCTTTGCGCTGCGCCCGCTGCTTCTGCCGCCGCAGCCCCGGCCCAGGAGCGCAGAGCTCGGGACGCCGGCCCCACAGCCTGCCCACCATTCGGACGCGCGCCGGCCGCGGCGACATGGGGGGCTGCTGAGAGCGGACGTTTTTCTCTCTGGCACCACCTACGGCCACTGGCCTCTGGCCTCTGGCCAGCAAGCCTCGGGCACCTCTGGACCCCAGTCCGGCACCTGGCACGGCCCTCCGTTCTGCTCCTCCGGCTCTGAGCATCGTGTCCCCGCCCCCCCCCCCCCCCCCCGCGCCTGGGACACCTGGGTCCCCCGGCGGCCCCTAGGAGAGGGGCGGGGGGGGGCATGAAGCCACTGGAGAAATTTTTGAAGAAGCAGACGTCGCAACTGGCCGGGCGAACGGTGGCGGGAGGTCCCGGCGGGGGTCCGGGGAGCTGCGGTGGGCCCGGAGTGGGTGGGGGATCCGGCGGGGGCAGCGGTCTGACCGGGGGACCGCGGCCACTGCAGCGGCGGCAGAGCGTGTCGCGCCTGCTTCTCCCAGCTTTCCTCCGGGAGCCCCCCGCCGAGCCGGAGCTGGAGCCGCCAGCCGAGGAGGAAGCGGGAGAGCTGGCGGGGGTCGCGGAGGAGCCGGGCAGCGGGGGACCCTGTTGGCTGCAGCTCGAGGAGGTGCCAGGCCCTGGGCCGCTCGGGGGCGGGGGTCCCTTGCGCTCCCCGTCCTCGTACTCCTCGGATGAGCTGTCCCCGGGAGAGCCCCTAACTCCGCCGCCCTGGGCCCCCCTGGGCGCCCCCGAGCGGCCGGAGCATCTTCTGCACCGGGTTCTGGAGCGGCTGGCTGGAGGGGCCACCAGGGACAGCGGCGCATCAGGTAAGGAGTGAGCGGCTCGTCCAGCCCGGAGCAGGGGGCTTGCCCGGGCTTCCTCTTCCTCGCCCTTGGAGAGTGGGGGTGGCGCTGTGAGGGTCCTCCGGAGCGGGGCGGGCCTAGCTGAGGCACGGACCCCTGGCGGACGGGAGGCCGCCCTGCCCACCTCCCTCTCTGTAGCAGGGAGAAGCAGCGGAGCCGCTCTCCTTAAACCACCCTTGCTTTCCCCTGCGCCTTTGAGCTACGGAAACCCGTGGGGTCCCTGATGTTGATCCCCTCCTCCCGTGGCCCCAAATTAGGGCTTGACATTACTAAAATGGCAGCTGCCCAGCACAGCCCGTGCCACCCTGCAGTGGGGTGCCCCAGCCCTGAGAAACCCATCCCGAGTCCCTGACTCTGCCTATAAGCCCCAGAGCAGGCGCTGGCCCACTCATGGGGGGCGGGGGGACAGTGCCCCACCAGCACAGGATCTCGGCTGCCTTTTGGGGTTGAGCAAAGGATGCATTGTCCTTAGCAGTTTGGTGGGGGAAGATAGGGTTCTCCCGGATGGCCTGGGATGTCTGTGAAGGAAGAGGTGGCTGTCGGGCAGCATCAGGGCTCAGCCCTGGCCAGAGGGGAGTGAGCCTCTCCAGCTCCCACCCTTCTGGTGGCTGCAGGCCTCAGCACACGGCCTCTTTAAAAAATAAGAACCACACCCTGAGAGGCTTAGTCCCTAAACGATGATGCGATGATGCTCGTTCACCATTCCCCACCAGCACCCCTTCCAGGGGCCTTTGAGGAAACCAAGGCCCCAGATTGCTGGCTGAAGACCTAGGAATCTTGAGGTCTAGCTCCAGGCATTGCACTAAGCCCAGGGAGGGTCTGAGGTTGGGCCCTAAAGATGGGTGGCTTCACCCTTGGCTCTCGGACATCGGCGGGGAACCCCAGCTTCAGTGTGAGGAGTAGGGTGCCGCTCCCCTAGATTTTCAAAGCCTGGGCCCTGTCCTTTGCTCAGGCTGTAGTTGCCCTGGGGAGCTGACACCTTTCGGATTTAATTAGAGAAATATCAGACACACACACAGCTCTCCTAACCATAACTTCCCGCCTACACCACACACCCTGTGTCTTTATGACACATTCCCTAGGGAGGCTGCACGTTGGACCAGCGCCTGCCTGGGGAGAGACAGATGCCAAACTGTAGCCCCCATAGCAGCATCTCCCCCACTCTGCCCCATGTTCCTCTTCCTTTGCTCTGGCTTCTCTCTCCTGCGAGATAAAATGTTCTAGAAAGGATGCTGGGCAGCCTGGCCCTGGTCCTCATCTCTGGAGCCGGCGCTCAGGGCTACAGGCTCCCTGACTAATTTAGGAACAGGGCAGTGTAGCTGAGCAGAGAAGAAAAGGGGGAGACAGGTGCTCTTTCCCCTTCTACAGGGGCTTCAAGCCACAAACTGCTCAGTGTGCCCTGGAGTGAGATTCCTGAATTCATTGTCACCCATATTATCTGGCCTGGCAGGCAGGAGCCCCAGAAGCTGGTTTGGGAAACCTCAGACCAGTCCCAGAGTGAATGCAACTCGGGTTGACCTGCTGCTCCCCAGTGTGACCCGTGTTCTCAAGCCATCTCCGTGTTGTCCAGGGTGTGTCGGAGGAGGGGACTCCAAACCTAGTCAGAACCTTTCAGAGGTTCAAGCCACCCATCTGATCACCAGCTTCGAACCTGGCAAAAAAGACCAGGCAAAAAAGTTCAAAGACCGCGGAGGAGTCTGGGTTCTTATTCCAGCTCCGGGCAGGTGCCTCCCAGCTCTCGGCCTCGGTTTCTCACTTGTGAAATGAAATAGTTGAAACAGATCATTCCTATGTTGCGTCTTCACCTCCAGCGTCATGACTAGAGTTGGAGGCTCAGAGCTGTTGAGCTGAGGGTGGTCAGAAGCCCTGGTTTTGTCCTGGAGCAGGGCCTGGGGCCCTGGCCCTAATCTGTCCTGGCGAGGACACCTGGCTCCCGCCCTGCGCCCTGCCTGTCTGTGTGTGCCAGGCGGCCCTGCCCCACCCCAGGGCTGGCTGCAAGTCAGGGCGACCTTGTACCCGGCTGACTAGCCGAACCAGGCCCAGACGGGTGTGGAGGGGAAAAGGGAGGTGAGTGGAACCCCTCCCCTCCACCCTTCCATCGTTAACCCTTCCATCTCTGGACACCCAGAGGACACAGCGTTTCTATTTAAAAGCTCTGGGATGAGAGAGATGGCAGTCACTCTTGGGGCGCATTCCCATCTGCCTGTTAGGGAGTAGGGAGGGTAGGAAAAAGGGCTACGCATGGACCACACGCACACTGACCCTAACCTCTTTGTCTAGAGGCCCTTCTGTGGGCTGACTACCTCTTCCAGGCAGATCTCAAGCATGGGGTTTTGTCAGACCAACTCCCCACATATCCTGAAGACAAGTGCTCATGGCCATCAAAGGCGCCCCCCCAATCCCTCCAGCTGCCTTGGCAGCTGTCAACCCCACCCCCGCAGCGGCTGCCCCACACGTGTGTGTGTGTGTGTGTGTGTGCGCGTGCGCATGTGCCGTGCGTGACAGGGCAGGTGGCTGGGGCTCCAGCCTGGCTAAAGAGAACTCACCCTGGGAGGGAAGAGGAGGGGGGTGCAGGGCTTCCGGCTTGGTCATGGAGATGCCCGCCTGACACGTGTGCTGCCCTTGATCTCTGCAGATATCCTGCTAGATGACATCGTCCTCACACACTCGCTCTTCCTCCCAACGGAGAAATTCCTGCAGGAGCTCCACCAGTAATATCCTTTTGTGGAGATGTAAGAGGGGAGCTCAGGAGGGCATCCGAGCCCTCCACCTCACGTGTGACGCCAGAACCCAAACTCTCCCCTGGAAAATACACCCAGATCTGACCTCCTGGGGCCCCAGTTTCCACTTCTGTAAAATGGAGGTAACAGCACCTACCCTGCTCACCTGGGGAGCTGCTGCAACGGTGAACCTGGGAGCACGCGTGGGAGAGCTGTGGGGCTGCAGAGCCCCATGCAAATGTAAGGTGTTATTAGGCCATGAAGGGTGCCTCTCTCCCCCACTGAATTATTGCTCTGCACATCTGGTTGCCCAGGGAGTCATCACAGGGTCTGATGTAAACACCACGCCACAGCTGTGCTTCTCTCAGTAGGGCCTGCTAGAGACAGGCCACTGTCTGGGCTATTCATAGGGTCTCACAGAGGCATGGGGCCTCTCACTGAGTTATTTTAGGACCTGACTGGAAAAGTCAAGGCCATGAAGCAGAAGGGCACAGGCTCTCGTGGAAACATCAGGCCGTACGGTGAGGTGTAGTCAGGTTTGTGGTCAGCTCCCCTGGCCTCTTTCTGTCCCACAGTGATGTCTAGGCTGAGGGTCAGCCAGAGGTCGGGTGGGTTCTGACAGAGCCTCCCCAGGTGAAAATGTAACAGGTAGCGCTGGATGTGGCCAAGGGCGTGCCATGGCCGCCTGGGCTAGGACAGGAAGGATTCTGGGCTCCAGGACCCTGCACCCATTTCCCTGGCCCCAGGCAGCTCTCAAGAATATTCAGGGGGCAGTTTAGCCTCCCATCTCCCTTTCCCTACAGGTCTGCCTGCCAGGACTTTTTCTTAACTTAGGGGTCAGCTTCGTTCGAGCAGGGGGCGTGGAGGGCAGAGAGGGGCTGGGCCGGAAGCAGGCCTGTCTAGCTATGCTCCTCCACTTCCTGGACACCTTCCAGGGCCTGCTGCAAGAGGAAGAGGGGGCCGGCCACATCATCAAGGTGGGCCTGGGAGAAGAGACGGCGGGCGAGCAGGCTGTCAGCTCTGCGAGGGGGGCCCTTGGCAGCAGCCACACTCCTCAAACCGGGTGTCTCCCCGGAAACAAGAGGTGCGGGGGGCCACTGCTTATGTGGTTCTTCCAGGCTGCTAGACAGGGAGAGCCTGCCCCAGTCCTCGCAGGGAGAGGTCCTTGGGACGAGACCCCTACCCTCATCTTCTCTGTCCTCCTCTCCCCAGGACCTGTACCTGCTAATTATGAAAGATGAGTCCCTTTACCAGGACCTCCGAGAGGACACACTGAGGCTGCACCAGCTTGTGGAGACGGTGGAGCTGAAGTGAGGGGGCGCGGGCTGAGGGAGGGGGCAGCAGGGAAGTCCTCCGAGTTCTTCTGTTACCCAGGCTGCCTCTGGCCTCTGGCCCCAACATGGTTTTATAGCAACCCCCTTTCTCTTACGGAAGGGGAGCCCACGGCACTGTGTACAGTTGGTTTGTTTAGTCCATTCGCCTTTCCATGTGTCTGTTGATCCACGGGTGTCCTAGTAAACATTTAATTCCGAGCATGGCAGGAGAAGGAGCCCTGAGGGGTAGCTTGTGCTGATAGCCGTGGTGTAAACTCTCCCACCGTGGCCAATTTCAGGCCACCAAGAGAACATCACTGAACACGGAGTCAGGGGGAGATGCACAGTAGTGGGCTGTTACGTAGGAGTTCCACCAGACACACAGGCACACATAAAGAGCCTCAGAGGCACCGACGACAGTGACGTGTGGTACAATAACTAGGACACTACCCTTTTCTAATCATCCATTTGATCATAAGTTTGTAAAACACACACACACATACACCTGTATTTTTTTTTTCATGGTTGTGTTTAGAAACCAGTTGGCGAAATCCCCAGCAGCGTCACAGTCTGTTCTCGTGAGCCAGTGTGAGCTGGCTCCATCCATCCCTCTGCCCCTGTGGTTTCCTTCCCCTCCGTCCCCACTGCCAGAACCCTTGCTTAGGCCTCATGATCTCTCACCTGGGTTGTTGTTGCCACAGCCCCTTACTCAGGGCTTCAGCTTGGGGTCTCGTGTGCTTTGTCCTTTCTCTCCCTTCTCTGGACTGATAGGAGAGAGATCTTTCAAACTTACGTAAACCACGCCATCACACTCCTGTTCCCAGAGCATCCATGCTCCCACGGCCACCAGGCTCACCCCTCCCTCTCTGCCTTCTGCTGATCCTTCTCTCCCACCCCCCACCCGTGACACTTCCTGTGACACCCACCGTTCCCAACATCTTGCTCCCATCATCCAGCCCAGAATGCCCTCCTCCCTACCCCTCTCTTCCTGCCATCCTTCAAGGCCCAGGTCAAATGTGATCTCTTCTCCATGAAAGCTTCCCGGACCCTCCTTTTAGGAAGGACTTTCTCCTTCCCCCACATCAACATCCCCTCCCTGTGCCTCTGTTCTCTCACCGCCACCTCCTGCCTTGTGTTAGAAGTAGCTGTGTGTGTGTCTGTCTCCCTCCCAGACTGTGAAATCCTGGTTGGCAAAATTCAGCAAACAGCTGACAACCTGCCACCTATCATGTGCCCAGCGGTGTGCTAGGCCCTTGAGGCTGAAAAAAAAAAAAAAAAAAAAAAAACCTCTGAAAGAATCAATCCCAGTCCTCAAATGCTCTATGCTTGTAGCAAATAACACATGGACATGAGCAAATATTATCCCAATGTTCTACAGCAGTTGAGGCCAAGAAGTGAGCCATCCTGGAGGGGGTGGAGTGGTCAGAGAAGAATTCATGGAAAAGGTGGCATTTGATTTAGGTCACTTGGACAGTTGTCCCCCACTGGCCGGTGTCTGCTCTCGTGACCCCCTTAACCACCTCTGAAACTGGAGCTGGTGCATCCTTGACCCAGTTCTGATATCCCTGCCTGATGCTGCCTGCCTGGCACTGCGCATGCCCAGCAGGGCTTGCTGAGGCCTGGCTGTGTCCATGCCAGGATTCCAGAGGACAGCCAGCCACCCAGCAAGCAGGTGAAACCCCTCTTCCGTCACTTCCGCCGGATAGACTCCTGTCTGCAGACCCGAGTGGCCTTCCGGGGCTCTGATGAGAGTGAGTGTGGGCGTGATGAGGGGCAGGGCTTCTGGAGTGGCTCAGGCAGACAGGTGGGGTCCCTGGGTCTTGGGCGCCCTCAGTGGGGCCTCCCTGGTAGTCGACCCAACCCCTTTCATAGCGTAAAGGTCTCCTGCCACTCTGCCCTCTGGTGAAAAACCGCTTTCCTGCCCAGTTTTCTGCCGGGTCTACATGCCCGACCACTCCTACGTGACCATCCGCAGCCGCCTCTCAGCGTCTGTGCAGGACATCCTGGGCTCTGTGACGGAGAAACTGCAGTACTCGGAGGAGCCCGCGGAGCGGGAGGAGTCCCTCATCCTGGTAGCTGTGGCCTCCTCGGGAGGTGAGTGAGGCTCAGCAAGAGCTGGGCTGGGGGCGTCCGGGGGAGAGAAACTCGCAAGCTCGGGGTCTTGGGTAAAGACTGAGTTCTAGGCCCTTGCCACTCAAAGTGTGGTCCTTGGACCAGCCTCAGGTGCACCTGGGAGCTTGTTCAAAACACAGCCTCTCTGACCCACACCAGACCTGTCAGATCACAGTCTGAATTGGAACAGGCCCCTTCAGGGATTTCTCTGTGCATTACAGGCTGGGAGCCCTGGTCTCCAATCCTTAGGTTGCAATCCAGGTACTGCCTCTCACTCCCCTGAGGACTGTGTCCTGATCCTTTAACCTCCCTGAACACCTGAGGCATTACTTTTATTTTTTTTTAAGATTTATTTATTTATTTGAAAGACAAAGAGACAGAAAGGTAAGGAGAGACGATAAGAGAGAAAGAGAGAGAGAGAATCTTGCATCCACTGGTTCACTCCCCAAATGGTCCCAGTGGCCAGACTGAAGCCAGGAGCTTCTTCCGGGTCTCCTCCATGGGTGGCAGGGCCCCAAGCACTCGGGCTGCCTTCCAGGCATGTCAGCAGGAAGCTGGATCAGAAACAGAGCAGCTGGGACTCAAACTGGTGCTCCAATATGGGATGCTGGCATTGCAGGCGTCCTAGGCAACAGCTTAATCCGCTGCACCCCATGCTACATTTTTCAAGCTAAAGACACAGGGTGAGCCTCCAGCCCCTGTAAGAAGGTAGCCATGTAGGTGCAGCCTCATTTTCCTATAAGAAAAAACAACAACAGGCCGGTGCCGTGGCTCAATAGACTAATCCTCCACCTGTGGCACTGGCACACCAGGTTCTAGTCCCGGTTGCCCCTCTTCCTGTCCAGCTCTCTGCTATGGTCCAGGAGTGCAGTGGAGGATGGTCCAAGTCCTTGGGCCCTGCACCCGCATGGGAGACCAGGAGAGGCACCTGGCTCCTGCCTTCGGATCAGCGTAGTCCGCTGGCCACATTGGCCATTGAGGGGGTCAACGAACGGAAAAGGAAGACCTTTCTCTCTGTCTCTCTCTCTCACTATCCACTCTGCCTGTCCAAAAAAAAAAAAAAAAAAACCTTCCTTGGGCAAATTCCAGATGCACATGGCATTCGCTGGCGATAACCTGGGGGTCCTTAGTTTAGAATGGTGAGCAGGGGCCTCGGAGTCTCAGGCTGGGATGGCCACGGAGGGTGTCAGAGGGTGCAGGTGGCGGTGCTGCCGCTGAGCGGCCGGCTCTCCTGCAGAGAAGGTCCTTCTCCAGCCCACTGAGGACTGCGTTTTCACCACGCTGGGCATCAACAGCCACCTGTTTGCCTGTACCCGGGACAGCTATGAAGCCCTGGTGAGAACGTCACAAGGCCGTGGGGAGAGCAAGGGCTGCGGGTGGGGGCGGGTGGGCACAGTCTGTCACCCTGCCATCCCAAGCCCAGTCCCCTAAGCCCCTGCCTGCCCCCAGGTGCCTCTCCCCGAGGAGATCCAGGTGTCCCCTGGAGACACGGAGATCCACCGAGTGGAGCCGGAGGATGTTGCCAACCACCTTACAGCCTTCCACTGGGAGCTGTTCCGCTGTGTGCACGAGGTGGGGACGGAGGGAGGCAGGGGCTGGGTGGGGGCCTGGAGGAGGAAACGCTCCAGATGGTTCCCCAGCAGCTTGCCCTTGACCAGTGCATGGCTGTGACCGCTAAGCCCTCATCCCACATCTGAAAAAATGGCAGAAGGAGAGACCCCATAGCGGAGTGGTTCAGGGCCCAAGTGCTACTTACACAGCACCAGATTCAGGGCTAGTGTCTTTAAAATATTCACTATTAAGGAAGTAAAATAAGGTAGCAACCACAGTTAGACGGTTGTCTTGAGGCTAAGCCAGCCTTTAGCAAGAGCCCAGCACCAGGTGCCCCTGGATGGAAGAGGATCCTTCATGCTGGGTCTTTGCTTGCCCCTTCTCGGTTGCATCCCGTCCTGTCCACGCTTTCCTGGTTCCCACCCGTGGCGCCCCCTGGCCTCCTGCCTTTGCCTCTCCACTGCCCCGCGCTGCCCACCACTCGGATCGGCCGCCGTGCGCGCAGCTGGAGTTCGTGGACTACGTGTTCCACGGGGAGCGCGGCCGCCGGGAGACGGCCAACCTGGAGCTGCTGCTGCAGCGCTGCAGCGAAGTCACGCACTGGGTGGCCACCGAGGTGCTGCTCTGCGAAGCCCCGGGCAAGCGCGCGCAGCTGCTCAAGAAGTTCATCAAGATCGCAGCCATGTGAGGGCGGCGGGGGCGGCGGCGGTGGGCGCGGGGCGCGCGGGCCGGACCGCGGGGCCGAGCCCACGCCGCCTGACCCCGCCTCCCGCCCCCACAGCTGCAAGCAGAACCAGGACCTGCTCTCCTTCTACGCGGTGGTCATGGGGCTGGACAACGCCGCCGTCAGCCGCCTGCGGCTCACCTGGGAGGTGAGGAGGCGTCCGGCGACTGCGGCAGGCCCCCGGGGAGCCTTTGTGGCAGCTGGAGGGAGGCGCCCTCTTGTGGCAGCTGCGATCCTGGGGCACACAGCTTGGCCAAGGGCCCCTGGCTCTGTGTGAGTTGGGGCAGAGCTGGGCGCACGAGGCTCTTGCCCGGGTGGCAGCCGCGGGTGTAGGAGTTGCGCTGGGTCTCAGCCAGCACTCACTGGGTTGCGCGGCACCTGCATAAGCAAAGGTCTTGTTTTCCATTGGTCCGGGCTGCTTGCGGCTTTCCCAGCAGCCTCCCAGACCCTACCTGACATGCAAGCCCTGTCAGCAGCCGCGCTCAGACATGCCTTCTCTTCCCTCGCACCCGCTGCAGAAGCTGCCGGGGAAGTTCAAGAACTTGTTCCGCAAATTCGAGAACCTCACAGTGAGTGCCCTTGGACTTGCACCCCAGAGCCCTTCTGTTCCTATGAACTCTTCCTCAAGCCCCGCCCCTTCCCTCCAGTGCCGGGAGGGAAAGAGAGAGGATTGCTCCCTTGTTTTCCCAGCCAGACTCCCATAGGCACCCCTGTCTGACTGGAGGTGTAGGAAGATGATGGAGGGAGTGGGGAACACCCTGGGGTACTGGGCCCCATCTGCCCCTTGACCCCTGTTCTGTGGAATGCTAGGACCCCTGCAGGAACCACAAAAGCTACCGCGAAGTGATCTCCAAAATGAAGCCCCCTGTCATTCCCTTTGTGCCTCTGATCCTCAAAGGTGAGAGAGTGGCTCCCAGGGGTGGCTCTTCTGTCCCCCACCGCGCTTCTCCCATGCCCAGGGGAGGGCAGGGGTCCCTGGGGGCAGTGGAGGCCTTTGAACCTGCTCTCTTATCGCTTGGTTCTCTCCCCATGCGCTAGACCTGACATTCCTGCATGAGGGGAGTAAGACCCTTGTAGACGGCTTGGTGAACGTTGAGAAGCTGGTGAGTGGCCCCATCAACCCAGCCACACACACCCCCATCTCCACTCACCTCCCCCAAAATAGCGGCCTTCCTCCGTGGTGGCCAGCTTGCCAGACAGCGCTCCCAGCTGCCTCCCTGGTGCCATCACTGTGGCAACCCACCCACGGTGGCAAAGCTGACAGGCCGCCGGGGGCAACTCCATCTCCCTCCCACCTGCCACCCTCTTCCACCCTCTCCCTTGGTCCTTCAGAGCACCTCCGGAATTGGGGGTGGGGAGTGGAGGGAATGAAACCAACTCATCTCTTTTCACCTCCTAGCATTCAGTGGCTGAGAAAGTGAGGACAATCCGTAGATACCGGAGCCGGCCCCTCTGTGAGTCTGTGTTGCAGGGGGAGCTTTGCCTGGCAGGGGCGGGGGGTGGTGCTCAGGGGAGCATGCACTGCTCAGGCATTGGCCTCCTGGAGGCCCCTCCTGCCTAACCTCTGTCCCTCTGCCCATTGCGATTGCAGAGGAAGGAGGGAGGGGAGGGAGCCCACCGCCTCTCTCTCCCGCCTTGTACGCAGGCCTGGACATGGAGGCGTCCCCCCATCACCTGCAGACCAAGGCCTATGTGCGCCAGTTCCAGGTCATCGACAACCAGAACCTCCTCTTCGAGCTCTCCTACAAGCTGGAGGCTAACAGTCAGTGAGCACGCAGAAGCTGTCACTCCCACGCCCGCCGGGCTCTGGGGGCAGCTGGCACTCAGGCACTTTGCTCGATATCCCGACCCACAGTTGGACCTCCTCCCCACCCCACAGGAAGAGCTGGACGGACCGCCCCTAAGCCCCCAAGCCTGTCCTTCCTGCGGAAGCCCTCACCCCCTGCCCCGTTCAACCACGCGTGGCAGCAGCCCTGCACAAGGTGGCAGGGACCCCCTCCTCCGGCCCTCCCATTGAGGACAGTTCCGGGGAAGGAGTTCCGGCTATGGGTGCCTCTCAGAGCAGGCCTGTGGCAGCGCTGGCTGGCCTTCGTCTCCACCAGCTGTCCGGCTCCGCTGGTCAGGGCTGCGAGCCCCTGGAACACGACGTCACCCTGTGTGTGTGTGTGTGTGTGTGTGTGTATCCGCACCCCCTTTTAGGGAACAGGAGCGTGTCTGGTACTTGAGGGAGCGTACTGTGTGTGCTGGGGGAGATTTCCTTCTGTTTGGTGCTACCCTTGTCTGCCGTGCCCCTGGGACCAGGCAGGTACTCCCCCACCCCGCCACTCCCTGCCAGCCTCCTCCTGCTGCCCTGCAAGCCCAGTCTTGTGGGCCAAGCGGCTCCCCAGGGCAGGGAGCAGCAGCAGGTGGGCGGGGCTCCCATCAGTCCTTGCGAGCCCCCCCTCAGGCCTCCTGAAGGTCCCTGATGGGTAAAAGATGCTCAGGGAAACACGGGCCTCTCTGCCAGTAGCACGGTCCCTCTGCCTGGCAGTAGGGTACAGCAGTATCAGGAGCCTGTCGCCCTCACTCCTACTTTTTCCACTGCTAGGGAGGGAGTTGCTTGCTTGTGTCTGATGCCAAGAGTGTGGTCTTTGCTCTTCTCCCTTCCCAACTCCCCCTTTGTCCCCCCCACAGAGTGGGGGTGGGGCGGATCCATGTTCCTGGGGCAGGCAGCTCCCCCCCCCCCAGAAGTGGGGGATGGCAGAGACCTTGCAGAACACTGGAGTCTGCCGAGGCCTTGATTACCTCTCTGTCTCCCCTCCCCCTCCCCCTCCCATCGTGGGCCTCTAGGGTTGAGGGGTGCAGGGCTCCTGGCAGCTACTGGGTGAGGTTCCTGGTGCAGCCTCACCCTTCGTTCTGGCACCCCCTCTTTCCCTTCTGAAGAAGCCGCAGCAAGAGCAGCTGGGCTCCACTCTGAGGGTTGTATATATTTTGTATCCAAAGCTCTGGAATTGTACATTTATTTTTTAAACCTCAAAGAGGGAAAGAGCCTTGTATCATATGTAAAAAGTGTATCATAGGCTACATTGTACAGTCCCTTCTACCCCGCAGTCTGTTTTGTCTACAGACAGGCGCTGTGTCCAGCCCCCTGCAGTCCTCGCAGTGCCCATGGCCCCTCCTGCTCTCTGCCTCTTCCCTGCAACTGCGATGCATCTCCTCTCCCTGCAGCCCCAGACTCCGCCCCTTCGTCCTGACCCCTCTCAGCAGCTTCTCGATCCCGCTCCCTTGAGCCCCCTCAAATCCTGAGACCTGCTGGCCCAGTCTTGGCTGCTGCTTGCCCCTAGCCTTGATGCCTGTCCTACCGCCTCCCAGGGCCCCCACTCCCTACCCCACCCCTGCCCCTGCCCCCTGCCCCACAGCTTTACCAGAGTGAACTGTGTGTATTGTACAGGTTGTCCTTGCACACACTGCTGGCTGGAGAAGCAGCCGATAAAGCCTATGAATCAACGTGCCTGCTCTTCTCCATTCTGCTTCTTTGAGGCTGGGGAAGGGGAGAAGGGGGAGAGGGGCTGGCCTCCCGATGCTCAGGGCCAGCTTGCAGGGCTGTTCTGGAGTGACCTTGGCCATGTGGTGAGAGGAAAGCATGTCAGCATCACAGACGTGTCCCTAAGTGCCTGCAACCTGGCAGAGTACGCACCTTTGTTTGGGTTGCATAAACAGGTGATCATTTTAATTCTAACTTAGGGCGAGAAAGAAAGAGGGAGCAGAACTGGTACCCTAACCAGGTCTGTCTGCTGCAGACAGCATGCAAGTTCCCACAACCAATACTTCCACTTCCACTAAGATAGGAGGCACAGAGAACCTAGCATTAGGCTCTAATAGCAGTCTAAGCTCCAGTGACGTCAGAGATCAAATAGCTACCCGGGAGCCCTTGATCTTCACCGGTCCTGGGTCTGTTCCTCCCTTAATCTCTCACTCACCTAGGTTTCCAAGACAAAACCCAGGATTCACCCTAGATGCCTCTTTCCTCCTATCCTCGCCGATCACGTTAGCCAGGCCCATTGGCTACAGTTCTAGATCGTATCCTGCTCAGTCCACTTCTCTGTGACCACCCGCATCCAGGCCTTCCTGTCTTCCCTGGATGACTACACTGGCCTCCCACCAGGTCCCCTAGCTTCCTCTCTCCAACCCAGCCCGCCTCACTACCAGTTGAGTTGTCAGATTGCAACCAGGGTGGTGCGGGGTGAGCATTTGTCCTAGAGGTTAAGAAACCCATATCTCATACCAAGCTAGGTTTAAAAGCTGCCTCCAGCTCCTAACTCCAGCTTCGTGCCAGTGCAGACCCTGGAGGCAGTGGTGATGGTCCAAATAAGTGGATTCCTGCCGCCTGCGCACCCACATGACACAGCTGGGTTGTGTCCGGCTTTAGCCTCTACCAATCCCCTGCCATTGCATGCATTTGGGTTGTGAACCAGCAGATGAGAGCTCTCTGTCTACCCATCTGTTTATTTTGCTCTTTATGTTTCTCAAATAAATAAACATTAAAATAAAAAACCTTGGGGCTGACGTCATGGCACAGGGGGTTAAGCCACCACTTGTGATGCCAGCTTCCCCTATTTTTTTTTTAAGGTTTATATATTTATTTGAAAATCAGATTTACACAGAGGAGAGGCAGAGAGAAAGATGGCCGCAACAGCCAGAGCTGCACTGATCCGAAGCCAGGAGCTAGGAGCAGCTTCTGGGTCTCCCACATGGGTGCAGGGGCCCAAGGACTTGGGCCATCTTCCACTGCTTTCCCAGGCCACAGCAGAGAGCTGGATCAGAAGAGGAGCAGCTGGGACTAGAACCAACGCCCATATGGGATGCTGGTGCTTCAGGCCAGGGCATTAACCAGCTGAGCCACAGCACACACACACCCACCCCACCACCACCACCACCCCCGCTTCCCCTATGGTTCAAGTACTGGCTGCTCTGCTTCTGATCCAGCTCCATGCTAATGAGCCTGGGAAAGTAGTAGAAGATGGTTCAAGTCCTTGGGCCCCTGCCACCCATGTGGGAGACCCTGAAGGAGTTTCTGGCTCCTCACTTCAGCCTAGCCCAGCCTCAACCATTGCAGTCATTTGGAGAGTGGACCAGCAGATGGAAGATCTCTTTCTCTCCTTCCTATTCTTTCTGGCACTCCATCTTTCAATTAAATAAAAATAAATCTTTAAAATAAATAAGTAAAATTAAAAAGCCTCAATGGGAGTGTGTATGACTAAAATGAAAAATGCTGAGGTGGGTATTACGGCGCATCGGGTTAAGCCACTATTTGGGATGCCTGCCTCTCATATCAGAGTGCCTGATCTGAGTCTCTGCTAGTGCACACCCTGGGAGGCAGCAGATGATGGCTCAAGTGCTTGCATCCCTGCCACCCATGGAGGAGACCTGAATAGAGTTCCAGGCTCCTGGCTTTGGCCTGGCCCACCTCCAGGTGTTGCAGGCACTTGGGGAATGAACCAGCTGATGGAAGATCTCTCTCTGTCTCTGTTGCTCTGCCTTTCAAATAAATGGAATAAATAAACTTTTTTTTCAAGTTAGCAATATTTAGAGTCAGGATGTGGAGCGATGAACTTTTTTTTTAATGGGAATTAAAAATTTATTTATTTGAGGAGTAAGATTATAGACAGAGAAAGGGAGAGACAGAGAGAAAGGTCTTCCATCCGCTGGTTCACTCCCCAATTGGCCGCAACAGCCAGAGCTGGGCAGATCAGAAACCAGGGAATTCTTCCAGGTCTCCCATGTGGGTGCAGGGGCCCAAGGATTTGGACCATCTTCTGTTGTTTTCCCAAACCATAATAGAGAGCTGGATCAGAAGTGGAGCAGTCAGGACTAGAACCAGCGCCCATATGGGATGCTGGTGCTGCAGGTGGAGGCTTGGCCCACTATGCCACATCACCAGCCCCAAATGAAACTTCTATACATTGCTGCTGGGTGTGTAAATTTGCAAAGCCAACTTGGGAAGCTTGGGCAATACTAAAATTAAATGTACACCTAGAGGTCAACATTATGGCCTAGTGGGTAAGGCCACTGCCTACGATGCCAGCATCCCATATGCGTGCTGGTTTGAGTCCCTGCTGCTCCATTTCCTATACAGCTCCCTGCTAATGTTCCTGGGAAAGCAGTGGAGGATGGTCCAAGTGCTTGGGCCCCTGCACCCACATGGGAGACCCGGAGGAAGCTCCTGGCTTTGGCCTGGCCCAGCTCTGGCTGTTCAGCCATCTGGGGACTGAACCAGCAGATAAAAGATCTTCTTTCTGTGTCTTTCCCTCTCTGTCTGTGCCTTTCAAAAAAAAAAAAAACAAAAAAAACAAAAAAAAAAAAACCTTAAAAAAAAAATACACCGGCCGGCTCTGCAGCTCAATAGGCTAATCCTCCACCTAGTGGCGCTGGTACACGGGGTTCTAGTCCTGGTCGGGGTGCCGGATTCTGTCCCGGTTGCCCCTCTTCCAGTCCAGCTCTCTGCTGTGGCCCGAGAAGGCAGTGGAGGATGGCCCAAGTGCTTGGGCCCTGCACCCCATGGGAAACCAGAAGAAACACCTGGCTCCTGGCTTCGGATCAGCGCGGTGTGCCGGCCGCAGCGCACCGGCAGTGGCGGCCATTGGAGGGTGAACCAACGGCAAAGGAAGACCTTTCTCTCTGTCTCTCTCTCTCTCACGATCCACTCTGCCTGTCAAAACAAACACACAAAAATACACCTAAGCTACAGTATACCTAAGAGAACTGAGTGCTTATGTCCCCCAATGACATATACAACAATTATCATAGCAGTCTTAGTCATAATGAAGAAATTGGAAAAAACCCATGTCCTTCAGCAAGTGAATGGACAAATACGTTGTGATCTATTCATGTGCTGGAATCCTGCTATCGGGTGCATAAGACCATTCACTATACGACTCCATTTAAGAGATGCTCAAAAACAGGCAAAAAAAATTTTTTTGACAGATTGGACAGTGAGAGAGACAGAGAGAAAGGTCTTCTTTTTCCATTGGCTCACCCCGCAATGGCCACTGTGGACGGCGCGCTGCAGCCGGTACACCGCGCTGATCCGAAGCCAGAAGCCAGGTGCTTCTCCTGGCCTCCCATGGGGTGCAGGGCCCAAGCACTTGGGCCATCCTCCACTGCACTCCCTGGCTACAGCAGAGAGCTAGACTGGAAGAGGAGGAACCGGGACAGAATCCGGCGCCCCGACCAGGACTAGAACCCAGGGTGCCGGCGCCGCTACGTGGAGGATTAGCCTAGTGAGCCGCAGCGCCAGCAAAGAACAGGCAAAATTAACCCATGGGGGTGGAAGTAAAAATAGCGATTACTCCACAGGATTGGAGAGGAATTAATGGCAAGCAGTGTGAAGCAGCCCTCTGGGGCCAGTGTTGTGCAGTGGGTTAAGCCACCGCCTACCACACAGACATTCCGTATCAGATCACCCATTTGAGTCCTGCCTGCTCCACTTTTGATCCAGCTCCCTGCTAAAACACCTAGGAAAGCAGAAGATGGCTCAAGTTAGTTGGGTCCCTGCCACCCCTGGGTGAAACCTGGATGGAATTCCAAGCTCCTGCCTTTGGTCTGGCCCAGCCCCAGGAGTTGTGGCCATTTGGGAAGTGAACCAGTGGATGGAAGATTCTCTCTCTCTCTCTCTCTCTCTCTCTCTCTGTTACTCTTTTAAAAATATTTAATTATTTGGAAGCCACTAATATGGGATGCTGTTGTCATAGCAGTGGCTTAACCTGCTGATCCACAACACTGGCCCCCAAATAAGATTTATTTTGAAAAGAGATTTTTTTTTTTTTTTGACAGGCAGAGTGGACAGTGAGAGAGAGAGACAGAGAGAGAAAGGTCTTCCTTTTGCCGTTGGTTCACCCTCCAATGGCCGCCGCTGCAGCCGGCGCACCGCGCTGATCCTGGCAGGAGCCAGGAGCCAGGTGCTTTTTCCTGGTCTCCCATGGGGTGCAGGGCCCAAGCACCTGGGCCATCCTCCACTGCACTCCCTGGCTACAGCAGAGAGCTGGCCTGCAAGAGGGGCAACCGGGACAGAATCCGGCGCCCCGACCGGGACTAGAACCCGGTGTGCCGGCGCCGCAAGGTGGAGGATTAGCCTATTGAGCCACGGCGCCGGCTTGTAAAGAGATTTTTTTTAAATTATTTATTTGAAAGGCAGAGAGAGGGAGGGAGGGAGGGAGGGAGGGAGAGAAGTCTATCTGCTGGTTTATTCCCTAAATGACCACAATAGCCAGAGATGGACCAGGTTAAAGCCAGGAGCCAGGAGTTTCATTCAGGTCTCCCATGCAGGTAGAAGGGGCTCAAGTCCTTGAGATATCTTCTTCTTCTTTTAACTTTTTAATTTATTTGAAAGACAGAGACAGACAGAGAGGTCTTCTATCCTCTGGTTCACTTCGCAAATGTCCGCAACAGCCAGAGCTGGGCTGATCTGAGAGCCAGGAGCTTCTTCCACGTCTCCCACTGTGGTGGGAGAAGC